CTTCCGATCTTGCTGCTGCTACTGCTACTGCTACTGCCACCGCTACTGCTACTGCTACTGCTACTGCTACTGCTACTACGACGACGACGACGACGACTACCACCACCACCACTGCCGGTACCGCTCCACCACCACTACTACTACTACTCCTACTACTACTACTACTACTACTACTACTACTTCTACTACTACTACTACCACCACCACCACTACCGGCACCGCTCCACCACTACTGCTACTCCTACTCCTACTCCTACTCCTACTCCTACTCCTACTCCTACTCCTACTCCTACTACTACTACTACTACTACTACTACTACTACTACTGCTAGTAATANNACGAGGACGACAGTACCCCCCCCCCCGCCCCCGCCCACGAAAACAAAGGCCACAGCAGAAGACACGTAATGGCCACAGAAATTCTCCACCCGACGTAAACTTTCGGGTTTAGGGTTTGCCTCACGCCATATTTCAGACCTTGGAAGGAGAAGCTCAGCTCTATGGCGAGATGCGATGTTGCTAAGATGCAGGTACACTACTCGGCTCGGTGTCCCGAGCCGAATCGCTTCGTTTCAGCAGGCAGCATGCTGGTGGACAAGGCAAGTGCTCAGGAGCTCTGCGCTCCTCCCATTTTTGCACTGCTTGGACCGCAGATCTGATTCGCCATCCACCATGAACAGCTTCCCCAAGAGTATCAATCCGAAGACACCTGCGGGCGAAGGCGAGAGAAATATTGAATTCAATTGCGTAGAGGTAAGTATGCCGTTGATTTCCATTCCTCGCTGCAGAAAATTGACGTGCGATTGCTGTTCTCAGCTGAATGCGGGAAGGCAAGTTCACCCGCTAAGTTAGCTTGAGCCATTGAAGCTACAGGTGTTCTTCTCGGCAGAAAGCTGTTGACATTGGTCGACGATCACAAGATTTGCAAAGGAATCAGATTTGCCACGTATTCAGCGAAGAACTCGCTTCGATCTTGCGAAACAGTTGTCCCGTGATTCGGTCCTGCCCATGTTGCTGATGATTCTGATCGAACTGTCCTCGTGAATTTGCCGTGCCGCAACTCTGAATCTTCGTGTTCTGACGCCCGTTTAATTGAAGGGCTTGGATTGCAGCTGTTGTGGCTGAAGTCAGGCGAGTTCGACGTGCAAGGGGAGACCAGGCTCCTGCACAGGTCGACTTGGACAGCAGGTGCCAGATGGGGAAGATCAGAAGATCTCGTTTCGGAAAATGAGACTGTGATCTGTATGCTGATTCACACTAGCTGCTACACGATGCAGTTGTGCAGGTGCAAGTGGTACACAGGGACCCTCCATTTGATGGTCAGAAAGCACCCCGCCTGAATGGATTTGGCACATGGCTGATGGCCTAGCCAGCTGAGCCTAGCCTGTCTAAGGATGTACGAAGATCAGAAGGAAGAGCCAGAAAAAGTGGAGGCCACAAGCCTGAGCATGCAGTGCTGCACATTCGTGCCTTGGCGCTTGGATTGAACATGCCTTCCGGTCAACAAAGAAATCTTGTGCATTGTGCATCCCATTGTTATTTGCCGGCCGGTGTTGACAGGCTATCGGCAAGGCAGTCGACAAAAGCCTGAAGGAGTTCCAAAAACTGGTTGAGGATCTAGAAAAAAGGCTGAAGAGCACAAAGGGTCTTGAGGCGCGGCGGGTGTGTAGGCACCCAGACTATGATGGATTCTGCGATGTAAGGTTTGCTATGTGTGCGGATGCTTGTGCGTGTGCTTTCAATGTGGTAAAGTTCTTAGTCAGGTCTCAACGTGAGTATGTCAGGATGAGGTGGTTCAAGCGGTCGGTCACAACGACTGGCTTGCAGAAGACTTGACCGTGCTTGCCCGGTGGCCAAGATCGGCCGGCCAAGAGTCCGCTCAATTTCAGCCTCCTGTCCACAGCATTGGACCTTTCATCCAGGTGCAGAAGGAGGTTCGCCAGACAACTGACCAAGAGGAGAAGCAGGCACTGCTGCACGGGAAAGCCTTGAGCGGCAATATGACAGCCACGGCCAGGTTTGGGAGGATCTCAAAAGCGAGCTTAGCTTCATGCTAGAGGTACGCGACGAACAAAGCGGGGCTCTCGGTCGGTAGAAGGTTTAGTTCGACCTGTTCAGAAGACCTCCTCTCCGTCTTGTCAGGTCGGGAACATATGAAGAGGGCATGCAAACTCGATGATTTGCCTGCTGCTGAGAATGTTCTTGGGCCAGCTCTTGCCAGCACATCCTGTCTTCTGAGGCTCAGGATTGTCAAGGAAGAAGTGGAGAAGCAGAGAGCCGACTTACTAGGGGAGTCTTCCCAGCATACACGTACCAGATCCTGATTGCGCAAGTCTCTGTCTCTGCTTGCGGACAACCAAATTGCACAAAGGATGATTCGGATGAGTCCTCATCGCCATAGCCTTGGCCTGAGCTACTTCCTTTTGCTGTGGATGCAGTTTGATCGGATGCGTCAACAATCTGTGGCAAAGTCTTTTACTGCTTTGTTGCGTTTGCTTCGACCAACCTTTGCCATTCGGCCACATACCATACCATGCTTCGGATCTGATCATGACATCGATGCGAAGGCTAGTCGAAGGCTGATTATCTGTCAATCGACTGTGGGGTGTGAATTGGCCAAGGTTTGCAGTGGGGTGAAGAGGACAGTTTCTCTAATTTAGAGTGGGAGAGTGCTGCAGTGCAGCTGTCGTCCGCTCGCATGGATTCTCCACTCTCGGGATCTGGAAAGCAGAGGGTATTCATACGGACACATACTAACTGGCAGTTTTATCGCTTCGCGACATTATTGATACGGACATATAGAGACTGGCAGTTTGTTTTTGCTTCGCCGTGCGTTGTTGGATTGGAACGCTCCAGTTCCTACCCAGTTCAGCAAAGTGAACTCGTCTCACCCCAAAAGATGCCAACGTTCCGTGGCGGTGCGCTCCTCCGACATCACAGGGTGCCGTCAGGGTGCTTCATCAGGCGCCCGCAGATGTACCGGTGGTGGGAGGGTTTTGCAGGGAAGCACTTCATCGTGCTCGGCTGGCAGAGACTTGGTCGAATCCGTTTCGGATATTCCAGCCGATGTGCTACAAGCTGTCGAAATTGCCTATTTCGAAGATGCAGTTGAGGCGATGGTGTTAATTTGACGGCTGCTTCCATTTTCGGATTGCTGTAGAAGCATGTCCTTCAATCCTCAATTGCTTGTCTTCTCATGCACAGACAGGTAGGCTCGCAATCTGAAGAACTGAGCAGCAAGGAGGAACAAGTTTGAATGCTTGCCAACCGCTTGTCTGCCATGTTTGGTTTGGCAGCGGTCACATTAGAGTTGTTCAGTAGCATCCGTCATGCACTGATCTAATGAATTGAGGCTGTGCTTGTTTGAGCCGCGCCCTTTGCCTGAACATGTCCGAGTGGGCTTCTTTGCTCTGAGCCTCCAAGAAGATAGGCAGCAACTTGTAGAATCTCCTAAAGACTCAGACTGCTGAGTTAGGGATCAGACCACGGGGTATAAACTTCCAAAGGTTACACAAGCTCTTCGAGACAGAGCGGCAGGAGTACCAGTAACCAGAACAACAAGCAGACTAGACGAGGCTAGAGTCCATGGCTCTGGGTTTCATGTCGGGCCTTGTCGGAGTGCAGAGGCACGCTCTGAACGGTGAGAGGTCTTTCTCTCTCCTTCTCCTTCTGCTTCTCCTTCTCCTTTTCCTTCTCTCTCTCTCTCTCTCTGTCTCTCTCTTTCTCTGTCCATGTGCCTCCGTGGCTTCGCGGTCTCGAACTGGAGTTTGTAGGTACCGAAAACGTGCGCGGAGAAGTAGCTACAGCTCACCGTCTTTGCATCAAAGTGGACAAAAGTAGCTTCTTTGTCGGGCAGTGGCAGGTTGTCTGTGTTGTGCTGGACGACGACAAGGGGGTGGTCCTGGTGGTCCTAAAGCACATGGCTAGAGATGCCAGAGGACGCAGCACGAGGCTTAAACACAGTGCTTGTGTGATCTAAGCCCCAACTCGAAGAATTCATCGCGGAGTTCGACACTAAGGCTCGGAGGATGAGGCTCCTGCAAGGCACCGGCAAGAGAACGTCAGGCGAGTGCAGTTGGCTTCTTTTTTCAGAAGGTGGAACTCCGGAGCGCTTTGGTTCCTTGCTGTGGTCAGTGCCTCAATCTATGCCACGCACCAACTGAACTCCAAAAGCCAAGTTTGTGTCTTCGCTTGTGACATCTTGTGAGTGCTCTTCCTGTTCCTGCTGCTCCATCTGCAACTCACTTGAGCTGCTTCGGCTCGTTGCCAAGCGGCGTTCGTATTCTCCCCACCCTCTTGTCCCCAGTAGCTGCTGCTGCAACTGCTGCGGCTGCTGTGGCAGCTGTGGCTGCGCTTTCTGAATGCTACCGCATCTCGGATAAGCTTTTTATGTCGTAGCAGATGCTGGCGTGCACTTGGGGGTTGCGCCAAGTCTGGCACTTCCTCCCACCCAGGTTTCAGGGCTTCGGGCTTGCGAGCCTTCGAAGCTTCGGCTTCTTGTGTTTGAGGTTTGCCATTCACGACCATGTTCCGGTTTGCCTTTGCTATTTCCCCTTCTCCTGTGCCGGTTTGAAGACTACCGCTCCTTATTGGTGTAGCGATGTAGGCTTTACCACTCCTGGCTTTCGTAGAGTTTGAGATTTGTCATCTCCGTTGTCTGCGTTTGGGGCTTCAGTTCAGGCTTGCGGTTTACCAGTTTCACTCACATGACATTTTCGCAATGGCTTGGGCTTACGACTGTGCACTGAAGCTCTTCCATGCATCAACTCGGTCCAATATCTAGGGTCTGGCAGTTTGCCACTCCCCAGTGTCTCTAGAACTTCGGCCTTGCCACGCGGGACGAACAGCTTTGAGGAATCGGGCCAGCAGTTCATTGGTAAATTTGAAGGCACTATGATAGACAGGTATAGTTTGTACCAGGCAGTTGTCCTGGCGTGGGAGTGGGGGCCTACCAGACTGTTACAGGTTTCTTTCGTTTGCATTTCAATATCAATATCCTGCAGCGGCCGCGTAGCATTAGCCTATGCTGCTTTTTGGCAGCGTGTGCCTGTGCACGCCAAGTACAGTGGCCGTGGGCCACCGAAGATAAATCGTATTGAGGAGTTGGGGTCCAAGGGTCAAAGAGGCTTTGCGAAGTGGCCGCGACGCGAATGAGCCGCAGCAGAAAGCCGCATCGCCGGGCCCAAAACTGTCTCGTGACATGCATACATGCTCGCCAGTGTCGCAAAGCCGTGGGATGAGCCAAGGCTGCCAAGGCCAGCGAGTTTCTGGTTGCGGGAAGTCTCCGGGGTTGGCCAACGTAACTCCGCAGAGTTGCGATCTACTGGCTCGCATGCGCGCAATCGTGTCGCGACAAGTACGCGACGTTTTCGCGAACGGGTCGTAAATGCGTCGCGATAGACGTGCGACGAGTGCATACGAGCGCATCGCGATAGACTGGTACGGGGTTGCTGCCAGCGAATCGCATGTCGCACGCCGTGGTACAGTGAGGAAGCTATGGAGATCCGAAGCTGCACAGACAGAGACAGACGATGATGCCAACTAAGCTAGACAAGAACGGGCTGCCAGCGACATGATGCTGTGAAGCTTGTCAGCAGCACTAGAAGTGGCCGCGCCCAACACCGAAGAGAGCAAGGCCGCAGTGGCATGTCTTTGATCGTCTTTGTCTTGCCAGCTCTCCGAGGTTGCCGGGCTTGCTCTTCTACTTTGTATAGCCTGGGCCGAAGGGATCGGGCACTTGCCACCTTTGGCGCCCTTTAGAGCCTTTTTGCCTTCAGGTGTGGGGTCCTCAGCATGCAGCTGCTGGTGGCTACGTGCTGCTTGCATGATCTTTTTTCGGGTTTGGAGTCGTGACGTGATAGGTCGTCATGTCTGGGGAGTGTTGGCAGGTCTTGACGCATTCCTACGTGGGCACAAGCCCCGGCAGTTCTGCATCGAGGCAATGCCCGGCTGTTTGAAACTGAGCTGGGTGCCAAGGCGAGGATTTCTTTTCGAAGTGGTCCTTCTACGTCGCTGGCGACCCCACGCACGGAACAGTGCATGCCTCAGGCATCAGGACAGCATTAGAAGTGATTACTTGGAGCCCTCTGCTGCAGGTTAAGTTTCTATCCTTCCAGGACGCCAGTGAGCAAGGCTGCATGCAGGAAAGATCCTGCTCAATCATGCTCAATCTGGTGTGGGCTTACGTAGGACATGCTGTCGAGGCCTCATCCATGCCTCTTTCGACCGCGTCTTCCTGGGCACCGATGCATCGGAGGTTGAAAATCAGATTTCCGAGAAGTGAGAAGCGAAGGTTCCTCCCAGTGCTCGGAGGTGCTTCGGCCCGGGGAAGGTCGAAAAACCGAGACTTGGCTGCGTGAGGAGCAAACACTCAGTCTTTCATGTTCGATGCTGACTAAAATAAATCTGTTGAAGATCTCTTGCCCCGGATGGTTGAGCTTCTGAAGCTGACGCACATGTGGCAATCTTCCATCCAGCAGACATGAGCTTGATGTAGCAGTTATTTTTACTTGTGTGTCCTGTGGGTTGAGGGTCTGCGCTCGTTATACAGCCAGTAGAAGTCTTATTAGCAGTCGGTGCTGTGGACGCAGTGGCTTTCAGCCAGCTTCTCAGGTGAGAATCGAGTGAGGCTCCCAGATTTGTGTAGGCTTTAAAAAGCCGTTGGGGCACGACAGCTTCAGGTCCAACGAGTGGTTCAGGAACGGTCTCTTCGTCTTGGACCTGGATCATGCACCGGAGCCCAGAGAGCCCAGCCAGGTCATGTCAGGGAGAATGCAGAAAGCCTTTTGCCGAGGCACCTTGGGGCTGCGGTTCTTGGCCAGCCTTCTGGATGTTCGGGGAGGACCAGACCCACAGCAATCCAGGGCGCCAGGGCCATCCAGGGCCAACTTGCCCTTCTCTCGTTTTGTCTCATTGCGTTGTCGCTTCCCGTGGCAGGACGCGCAGCATGTAGGTGACTTAGGTGACCCAGAAGTGGGAGCACAGCCAATCTCCAGTCCCTGCCGGTCCCTCCATTGCTTCAGGCCTGGCCGAGGTGGGGGGAGTACGACATCGTCGAGTCCGTTCACAACCGCACGTGGGCTGCAACCACACTGCACACTCGAAAGGATTGTGTCATGTTCTCAGACCACAGCCGCCAGCAATCGCCTGCACAGCAAGTGCAGCAATCCTTGCTCTGTGTGAACAGGGGTTGTCGTTCTCTTTCTGAGGCGCAGACGGATGTGAGCCGAACCCGTGACTTCAGTGGTCAGGGGTGGGTGCCTGGCAGTTACGGCACCAACAAGGCCAAGAACTGCTTCGTCCAGGCTGGACCCCAGACGAGACAACAGAGCTGACACGATCTTGGCGGCGCAGTGCGGCTTTCAGGCCCCCGGCGAGTTCGCGAATCAGGGCTGTGGCCAGGAGCAGCGCAGCACTCAGGGGACCAATGACGGTTTGGCTCGACCACTTTCACAGCGTTGCGAATCGCGGCAAGGCCTTATGGCTCCTGGGGAAGGCCTTTGAACCAGGCCATGAACGCTCGAACGTCGCCGTGGAGAAGTGGATAGCTGTGGATTAAAGATCTCTCCAAGGCTGGCGGCGGAACATGGGCAGCGGAGTGGGATCCGGAGAACGAGTACATCCGTCCCTGCCCTGACTTCACATCTTTAGCCCGTTTCAGCGCTTTGCGTCTCTCGACTACTTCATCCCAAGGCACTTGGTTTTTTCCGCGGGGGAAGGCACCAAAGCAAGTTTGGTGAAGAGAGCTGTCACAGCCGCATTTACCCGACATTTCTGAGTAGGCGCCCGCAGATCTAACCGAAAAGCGGCCACTGTCGGGGGCAGAGTGAGCAGCTGCGAAATGTTGCGAATCTACTTCGTGCAGTCGGCGATAGTCTCGCCTTCTGTCAGCTTAGACTTCATACAGCCCAATGACTTGTTGCTGAGGCCGGACAGCTGGGGGATGCCCACATCCTTCTTCTCATTGAAGCAAGACGATTGCAGCCCTTGGCTGAGATAGAAAGCCGTGGCTTCTGCAGGACGATCGATTTTGCCGTATTTCTAGGTCATGGTGTGTGGTATGTTTGCTGACATGGCTGATGCTTGTAACCCTTATGGTTGCGGACAGACAGGCTCATACTGCCGGCACAGCGCATTCTTCAAATTTGTTCGAGTTTGCAGAGGTGCCCGTCACTTTAGACGGATGCGATCGCACCTCAGATGTGGTTTTCCAAAATGTAGCAAACACAGGCCAAGCCGGTGCAGGCATGTGTCTCAAAACGTGTCGACTCCACACGAAGTTAGTTGACGTTGGTTGTCCTTTGTATACTGTTCTACCTGAAACACAGCGATGATCAGCAATGCATGATTTGAGGGATGGTCTTCGACATCACTTTCTGTGGCGAATTTGGTGGCAACCTCAGCCTGGAAAATTTCAATTTCTCATTCGCAAAGCCGGAATCACAGTGACGGTCAGGTTCGGCGACCTTTGGTGCGAGCTGTGCAAGCACTGGCCGGCCTCTAAGCAAGGGACTTCTTATCACTTACACGCAAGCTCTCAAAGAGTCAGGACAGTCATGCGAAGAGTACGTGCAGAAGAACCCTGCAGCACCATGCTTAGCGACTGCGGTTCGCGGTGGGTTGCCAGGTTTTGAAACTCGGCACTTCGACAGTTCGACCAAACAGGGCCTCATTGACTGTGTTCGAGACGAAACGAGGGGACGCACTCGCTACAATAACATGCCTCCGCGAAAACCTCGATAGCAGAGCCAGTCAGCGTAAATGGACTTCTGAAGAACAAGGGAGTGTGGTGTCGAAGTGTGTTACTCCCGTCCTTCGTTCTCGCTGCTTTGCCTCAGGCCTTTTCGGAAGCCTTCTGGTCCGTTCGAACCCTGGACGTCTACAAGAGGGGGCCACGGCCTCAGGCATAGACCGTAGACTCTGCCGTAGTTTCCTTCGCATCGCCTCCTTCTCTCAGGTCTGAGGCCGAAGGAGTAACAGCAGCCGAGACGGGTCTGAATTATGCATCGCAGACATGCTTGAGAAAGTCTTTCAAAGCCTGCCCAGCCCGACTGGAGGACGTGAGGTCGCACATCTTTCATGGTGTGAAAACTGCCAAAGCCATGAAAGCGTGAGCCCGGATGGCCAGGGGACCCCTCCGAATGGTCCGAACGGTGCACTCAGATCTGCTGCCTGGCTGCACAGCAACGCGCTCTTGTTAATTGTCCGTACCGGACATACGAATAAGCCTTGTTGTGAAATCAGCCTTGAGCCAAGCTGGGTGTCCATCCAACCTGTTCTTTTGCAACCAGGGTCTTGGGGTGTGTCACAAAGATGGGCACGTGTGTTCCGAAACCGTTTTGTGCTGAAGCTGCTCGGACAAATGCTCTTCCATTACCGGAGTTGTTGCTTTACGCGGCTTCCAACCGTTTTAAGAAGCTTCTGACAGCTACAAAAGGGTATGAGGCTCCCACGCACACTTCGCTTGGGTCTTCATTGCGGTCGAGCTCCAAAGCTGTGAGAAGTTGTCCAATCCCTTCATGCTGGACACCAGGTTTGGAGCTACATGAGTCGGGCTGGTAATTGTGTGGCCTCAGGTTGGCATCCTTTGCTTGGTGCTGGTCCATGCCTGAGTGACTCACAGTCACCCGGGGCACCAGGCAAGGGCACACTGCTTGCGCCAAGGGCGTTGGTGGCTGTGGTGCCACTGCCTACTTTATGTACAAGAAGGTCACCACGCCCACGTGCTTTATGAAGCTCTTAAGCAGCACATGCTGAACGAGTTCCTTGCAGGGTGCCGCAGAAAATGCGTCTTTTGTGGACATACAGAAGGAAGGCGCGGACCCTCTGTCCAAGACGAAACGCCAAAGCCATGTCGAGCTGCAGAGAGTTAAAGATTTTGCAGCAGTTTGCTTCTCGTGCGAGGCCTTTCAACATTCTCGGCGAACTTGCAGGACGGATGACGTGCGTGTTGTGCTTGTGTTCTGGCCCTGTCCCAACTAGCGGGTCGGTTGAAGGAAGGAGCAAACCATGCAAAACAATTGGACCCGAAAGACGTAAGAGAACTCCAGCTGCAAACTGGAGCACAGCTCCAGAACTCCGCCGTCCATGAGCCGAAGCTACCGAGAAGCCCGTGCATGGCTCATGTTCCGGATCTAGAAGCCAAGCAGTCTCAAAATCGGTGCTGTTGACGTCTTCCTCGCGAAGAGGTCTTTTTTCATCCGCTAGTGGGCACCGCATGGCAAGGGTCCAGAGTTGTGACAGTCTGAGAGTCCAGATAATTGCAAGTCATTCAGTCCCTGCGCAGACGACGGATGTGAGCCGGATGCTGATGCCAGGGCAGAGCCACTGTATATCGAACATCTTGGTTTAAAACTGAATCAGTGCTTCTGCGCTGTCGTTTCAGTGAGGCCAGTGCACACATGTGAATCTGCGCGAGCTGGAGCAGGCCGTGATGGCGCGATGTGCGTTGCAGTTATCGCATGTAGTGCCGGGATCGCTTCTAGCTGCATCATCAGGCGGAGTTTGTTACACAAATCCGCCATGGCCTCACATTTCGCGGGGGACTGCACATGCATAGTTGTGGCTGTGATGCGGCTTTGGTACACTTTTTTCAGGTGAAAACTTGCCTACGGTCCCGCAGGCTCGTGTCAAGTTCGATGCATCACCAGCCTTGCTTGATGCAGAAAGAAACACACAGCCACATACCGACAGCAGTCAGTTGAAGAAAGAGCAGAGTGCGTCCGAAGATGAGTCTTGCCATGAAGAATCGTGTGATCCCCTGGTTTGCGCATGCGTGCGCTTCATATCGACACAATAAAGCCTAGCAATTTCGAGCACGACCAACGTTGGGCTGCAAAGCTCTGCGAAGCACTTTAGGCTGATGAATCCCTGTATGGAGGCATGGGGCCTCGTTCTAGTGCAAAGCACTCTCAATGATCTTGCCGAGAGAGAGTTAACTATCAATTACACAAGAGGCCCCTGTCTTCCTCAAGCAAGCCGGAACCAGAACTTGTTTCATTACTGCAGACTTTGAGAGGGAAGACGTGAGTAATTGAGAACAGCCTGTGAAGTTTTGACAGCAAGCATCACAGGCAGCACATGCAGCACCACATGCAGCACGGTACTCTGACAATAGAGAGCCCAGCCCTGGTAGAAGAGAACTGCAAAGTGAAGACAAACAAGGATCGCTTCTAGATGTTTTCCAGGCAGTAAGCGCAGGCTCACCCTTCAAATTCATGTCAGGTGAGCAACTGGTTTCAAGGCGGCTTCAGCATTCCAGATGCTTGGCATCTTGAGGGGGGAGAAGTCCTGGACAGCTCTTGCAGGAACTTCTCGACCTGTGGCCAGCCATCCGCAGCGAAATCCAGGTTCCTGTCTGCTCACGGTTTGCCTGTGCATGACCTAGGCAAGATGCCCCGTTACTAGGAGCTGCGGCTGCGCAGCCTCAAGAAGGTGCTGCTAGCTGGGTGTTCACCTTACACGGCTAGACGGGGCTTGTGCTGCTTGCATGACAGCACGAGCCGGTGCGGCGTTCACCGCTTGCAAGGCTGGCTTCTCATCTCAACCGACGAGAGGTGACTTGGCAGGCAGAAAGAGAGAGAGAGAGAGAGAGAGACTCTCCAAGCGCGCAGAGTGCCGTGCCTGCCGCGCTCTTGACTGTGTGGAAGAAGACCCTCCAACCGTGGCGAACCAATGTATTTCTCACTCACGCGATGTCGTGGGGGGACAGCATGTTTTTCCTCCCAGTCCCGACCGAACTAGGTTGGAAGGGTTTCGGGGGAGCTTTGTTTGATCGTTTTGATGTGGGGGATTGCTTACTCTTTTCTGTGAGACCCTGCTGGTATTTTATCCGTGTATAGCCGAACTTTTCATAGGGCACGGCCCCCTTGGAAGACCAAGACGCCCGTGAACCGCAGGTGCACGTGCGCGTGCGGAGAAGGGCGGCTGGACCGCCGCCCTCTCCTGTCCCGGTAGAGAGAGAGAGAGAGAGAGTCTGTGCCATGTCTCGGCATTCTAGCATAACATGCACTGCCTTCCTAATTCCAGCTTCCGAGTGAGTAGTGAGCCGTCGAGCCAACATAGTGGGATAATTTCGAAAACGAGGCACCGCACAAAACTTTGTTACCTCAGTGTTATCGTAGTGTGTATTGTGTTCCGGTGCGATGCTGAAGTCCTTTTTGTGCGATCCCTGCCTTTGTTGAGTTTGCTGGAGAGACTATTGGCACCCGCAACAGGCGGGGGCGCAGTTGCGCGTGGTGGGGAGGCAGCTCCCCACCACAGCCCTGGCGAAAGAAAGAGAGAGAGAAGCCTTCACGGGTACCTGCCCCCACGGAGGCGTACGAACAGACCACACCGGGTAACCCTTCCAACCAACGTACAGACACACCCCTCTGTCAAAAGGATGGATGGGGACGCGCTACGGCGCGAGTTGGGGGGGTACCTCTGATTCTTACCCTGAGCAAAGCAAAGCAAAGAAGCCTCCACAAACGAATGAGCGAGGAGGGGGGCCTAGGCGCGGGTTCGCTTGCGGGCCTGGACCCAGTGGAAGGAAGGAAGGAAGGAAGGATTGAAGGAAGGAAGGAAGGAAAGAAGGAAGGAAGGAAGGAAGGAAGGAAAGAAGGAAGGAAGGAAGGAAGAGAGGGAGAGAAAGGAAGAAAGCGCTTCTGCTCTGCACGGGCAGGCGCGGCCGGCTCTCGAGCAGGCTCACAGCCCGCGCCGGCCGCGGCTGGGACCATTGCCGGGGCCCACCGCTTACGCCGCCCAGCACAGTCTGCGCGTTCCTGTTTAGGCGACTTGGACGTCAATTACATCGTGGCTGCCAGATATGCAGAGCACAAGACAGCCAAGCCTAGGCCAGCTTTTGGCTACCAGTGTTTCTGAACCCATCTGGCACTGCTGTACGATGAGAGGACGGACGAGCTCGTCTTCGAGTGGGCAACAGTTGTGGGCTCAGGCTGCGATAAAAGCAGTGGAACAACACCTGCCCAACTGAGGGTCTGTGTTTGGCCCGCTGCGACGCAGCCCTATGTGCGTGGTGCTGCTTCGCCACAACAAGGTCGGGACACCAGAAGGATTTTTTGGGAGGCACTAGGCACCGGAACTGCCTCAGGAGGACGCAATCCGGCAGCTGAAACACAGGCTGCTGCTACCAGTGCAGGCGAGTGCTTGTTTGCGGCAGTCAGGTCAGGGTGGTTGTTTTCTAGTGATTCTAGTCGTTTTTGCCTGCTGTTCCCGTGATGTCCGTGTTCCTGCAAAAGGAAATTGATGCAATCAGTGGCAAGCACAAGAACTTGCAATGCTTGCTGCTGCCCTTCACTTGGAGGCGGCTGGTCTAATTGGCAATTCGGTGCAGCTCAGTCGTGACCCAGCTGCTTTGTGTATCTGTGTAAAGTAGATCTCTGAACATCTCTGCTTCGTGAACCTATTGACAGGTACTCACAAGGCTCGCCATCTCATGGTGCCTGGCGTCTGCCTCCCACTATCAATGCACTTGGTCCAGGAGGCGGTTCTTGTGTTTGGGCACCAGAATACAGTGACTGACTTCCACATGATTTTGCAGGAAGTCAGCGTCGCACGTGATGTACAGACCGGCCGAACAGCGCTTCGACGGAGGCAAAGCTTACGACTCCAGGCGAAGCGTGAAAAGGCGATGCCACCTTCGGGGCTCACTGGCTCCGAGCTGATGTGCAGAAACCAACAGGAGCAGCTCCGAGCGAGAGCTAAGGCAGCCATGCCTTTGTCCGCTGGAGTCACTACGTGGGACAGACCTACGTAGGTGCATGGTACCTCGCGGCCACAGGAAACTGCATCAGATGGCCACTTTTGTGCTGTTCATTCCATTGTTTGGTGGTCTGCGGGTCGCCTTTTCGGCTCGCTGTTGACATTGCATTGCGAGAGGGTGCACCAAGCTGCTGCACATGATGGCCAAGCATTCCTAGCAGCCGTGTTCGGCACGAGCTCGTGATGATTGGTGATTCTTGCGATCTACATTCACAGAAGAGATGAAGATACCCTCTCAGACATCGTATGGTCTCCTCCCAGCTTACAGGCATGAAGCAGTTCCATCCAGCAACGGAGCACCTTTTCTGATCGAACACATCACGTCATCAGCCGTGTCGTCACGCAGCATACTCGGAGCCCGGTAGTGAACCCGACAAATGCCGTCGTCATTACCACTGCTTTAAAACTATACGCATAAGCCTGCCTTTGGATTGACAAATGCTTGCAAACTTCAACTTATTAAGCTTCCCCGCATGCTCCCGTGCGCAATCTTCGTTGCAGACTGTCGACGCACTGCATATCACTACATGCAATCCCCCAGCAGTGGCCTGCACACACCACTCGTGATCCACGTCGCGACGCCGCTCGGCAATCCACTTTTATACCAAGCGACCTTTGTTTCACTGCACGGGCCTTGCCCACCTCGTTGCGGGTCGCAAAGTGGCGCAAGCGTCATTGATGCGCGCTGCGGCCTCTGCGTGGGCCACTTCTAGTTCTCGTGCAGTGACAGCTCGGCCATGTCCGCAACGCCCGTGAGCCAAACCCATGGGCCTGGCAGCACGTAGCCAAGCGGCAAGCGTAGTGCGGAGGCGGAAGAACAGTTGAGGCAGCGCTCACTGGTGTCGGAATCTTTTTCTGAGGATTCTTGAAGCGTAGTGCGGTGAATTGTAGGACGGCGCAGTCGCCTGAGTCATGGGGACGGAAGAACAGTTGAGTCAGCGGTCACTGAGTCTTTTTCTGAGGATTCGATTTGTTGCCGCGTAGACTATCGCGCCATCACTTGCACCATCGTCTTTTCGCCCGCTACCGGGCGGGATAACGACTACGGTGCATTGTACGATATTGTACGTGCATTTCAAGCCGTGGAATTCCCAGACGATTCACCACAGACGTCCTGATACCGTGCCATGTTCGCTATAAAATTACGTAAACCGCCAGAGCCGCGCTTGAGACGGCGCCTCAGAGACGCACTTGCACTCCTGAACGAGCTCCCCGTCTGCTCGCGCTGTCAGGCTTGGGCAGGTTGACTTGCTCGGAGTGGGCTGTCCAAGAAGGTTTGGAAACCGTCGACGACCTGGCATACTTCTTCGCTAAATCGCATCGGCCAGTGTCGGAGTCGCTGAAAATGGCTTGAGAATTGGCCTGTAATTGCACACCGAGTGGTTATGTTTTTGCATAAAGGTTCGTTACTACGTTACGTTACATGTTTGGCAGACGGAGTCTTGTCCGAGACTCCGCAAACCAATGTTAGGTGCCTTTGGCATCGTGATGCAAGGTGTGACGTTGCCATGCTGCGGCAACAAAGAAATCCTGATCATGACAGGCTCCAGGTGGACGGCTTGGCCCGCTCGCCCGAGTCACCCGGTTCACTGTGGCGCGCACCCAGGGGCGCTTGCATGTGCCGGGGGCGAGCCAAACTAGATCAAACTAGGCGGTCATAGCAAGCCTTGGGAAGGGATGCCCTTTCAGATGAAATTGGTGGAGGTTTCAACAAGCGCCGCTGGGATATCATCTGTTGGACGAGCAAAGGTTGCAGGCCCCCTTTGCAGACGTCATCCAGCCGACGCGCCAACTCGGCAGGCGCTGCTTCTACCGTACGTAGCTCGAATCATTTCGAATCCCAACAAGCGGGTCTGCAAAGACATAACACATTCGTTGAGCAGAAGAGGCAATAACTCACCGTAATATGGTGATCTTGGCGTTTATCGACATGCACTGCGACTGGCTCCTGTGAGCCGTGCATCAAAGTGGCGTTGCGCGGGACCTGGGAAGGCTGGCATAGAACCACAGGCGCTACCTTGCTACTGATGGGCAGCTTTGTTGTGGGCCCACGAGTTAGACAGTGGGAGCGCCGAGTGGCTGCTCTGTGCTGTTGAGCGGCCGTGTAGTCGCTCTGTGCAAGCCCAAAGGGCGTGTGCGGGCCCTCCTCGTCGGAGACGTGCGCCGCTTGGTCGGTCTCAAGGATTTGGTAGGTATCCGAGGTATGCAAACCAAAAAGCGTAGTGCGCAAACGGTGGGGTCACTCTTTTCCCTGATCGTCTCGATCTGCGTGGTCAGGCCGTTCTGGCTTCTGAGGTGCCTATGGCACTACTTTCCTTCGGGGATGTCTGAACTACCAGTAGCCGTAACCTAGGCAGAAGGTGCACCTGAGCCCGAACAGCCAGTTGACGAGGCAGCAGCATCATGTATGCTCTGCTGGCACAATTTGACACAGACAGCTCTAGAAGGTCAACTAGATGGGTATGCCTTTGACATGCCCCGAAAATCTTGGCCGTATTGAGCTGGCTGGGTTGTCCACAGCTCATTCGGCTCGCGACCCAAGAAGCGCTCGTCGCTTCTTCGCCAACAAGAATGCACCACCCAGACGTAATCTCCACGTCCCTTAAGTCAGGAACTTTTGTAGCACATCTTGCTCAAACCGTCGGCAAGCTGGTGGTCCGAGTCCACCCACTGAAGCACGGTGCCCTGTTCCTCCGCATGTTGGGACAGAGCTTGCGTCTCCAGGGCCGTGTATTTGTCTGTCATGCTAGCCGGAGGAAGCTATGGATCCTTTTTCCAAAGCATCGAAGAGAGCCCTCGCATCAGTGATCAGGACAGCCGGGATCTTGGACAGGGTCGGCACGGTGTTCTCGAGGTGCAGCTCGTGGCCCAGGAGTTCCGCCCAGGTGAGGCGGGCGAACATAACTTCCTGTTCGAGGTCTGCCAGTGCCTGCGTTTCCGCAGCCAGAGATGACCTTGCCACTCTTTGCAGACGGCTATGACATTGACACGTCCACACTCGTTTTCCATCTCTTCGGGTCGCATCAGTCCATAAAGATGCCCCCTGTCGAAGAGCCATCCGGGCGATTTGCGACCGCAGCATCGGCCCAACCGACGACGACGAGGGACTCGGGCTTGGCGTTGAGCTGGTTGACATTCACGCTCAAACATCGCCCTGCATGAAGTCCCCGTATCAACGTATTAGTCATCTCGATGTTCGAGGGGTCCTTTGTCGCCAGGCTCAACTTGGCCGCGTGGTGCGGCGCCGTTTGGGTAACATGCCATTAGATGGCGCCATGCACAGCACGAAGTCGAGACACTTCATCTTCACGGAAAGGGCCATCATGATGTTTTGCCCTCGCATCAGTCTGAGACATGTTCGCGCAATGGTTCAGAGAGAGAAAAGTCCATTAACGACCATGTGTCATGGTCAAAGCGTGAAACATGTTTATTTGCCCATTCATTCATGGTCACAAAATACAAGGAGCAATAAGCTGCGAAAAAGGCAAAAGATTCGAGTCATCATACAGCTGCTGGAGACTTTTTTTCTGCCGCAGAACGAAGCGGCGACCATGTTAGTTCGCACTACTACGGCTACAGGGGCGGCAGGCCACAGGTGCGGGTTTATGGCCCGACCTTCAAACCCGAGGTTGCATCACATGCAGCGTGTCCATCTGTCGCCTAAAGGTTTAAAACGCTACAAGCGCGTGACCTTTACGCGACAGATGGACACGCTGCATGCGGTGCAACCTCGGGTTTCAACCCGACAAAACGTGGAACTTCATCGTCGAAACTGTGCAGTTGCTTATGCCAGCAATGTCCATGCCCAAATAAATGATAGGCACCGTTGGAAGCTTCTAAAGTCTCTTGCGCCAATAGCGACAAAATCTTACAACCAAGCTACATTGCAACTCGGCTTGACAAACGAGGCAATCCAAACAAATCAAAACTATATCATATTATATCAACAGCTCCAACGGCAGCACTAAACGCGCAAAACAGTGAAGACGTACTCCACATCGTAGTGGCCTAGGGAAACTATTCAAGTTTTTATTCCCGAAAGCATCGCGAA